ATTCTATTCATCTATTCTGTAAAGCACCTGAAGGCAGAACAAGGAGCAATGGGTGGAAACTAATCAAGGAGAGAAGCAACTTAGAAATGGGAGAAACTTCCTGACAGTGAGAACAATTAATCAGTGGAACAGAAGTTGCCTCCAGAAGTTGTGAATGCTCCAACACTGGAAGTTTTTAAGAAGATGTTGGATAACCCTTTGTCTGAAGTAGTGTAGGGTTTCCTGCCTAAGCAGGGGGTTGGACTAGAAGACCTCCAAGGTTCCTTCCAACTCCGTTACTCTATTCTAAATGTATTTTAAGCTGAAGTAGATGTAGGATGTTCTGAAAATGTGGATTTCAGCTGAAAATCGCTCCAAATAGTTCTCTCTTCCTTAAGCCCAATTTTTGTTTGTTTGTTTGCAACCCCAGAGGGGGAAAAGCAGGCTCCTCCCTCTTTGTCCCGGACAGAGAGGACAGAATCTTATTCTCCAGGCAATAAAACTGCTGCTAGGATTTTCCCAGGGAGCCTCAATTATAGACTTCCAGCATATTCTAACCGGATGTTGTTGCTCGTTTTACACTGGAATATTTTAAGAATATTTTATTATTGCAGGATTCCTTTTTTGCTGGCTCTCCTCTAATTTAACTTTATTCTGACGGAGGCTAGCATTAATTGCTCACCTTAGGACTCCACGCATAGCCTGATGTGGCAAGTGTATGCATAGAAACAGGTAACTTTGGGGAGAAAATTATCCTTTTCCTATTGAGCGCCCTGCTCCCAGGGATTAGCCGCTGGCACAACAACTGCCACTCTTAATGGTTAAGGGGCATCCCATTCTCTTTACTTAAGACCAGTGGTCAGCAACCTTCAACACTCAAATAGCCACAAATGTCCCAACCAAAAGCCCCCCATTCAATTCTGGAGCTGACTGGAAGTCCAGTTCCCCCATCATAGAGTCTCCTCCTAGCACGGCATCCTTTTTCCTCTACCTGTCCTAACTGAAAGCCCTATCAACTGTAGAGCCGACTGGCGGCAAGGAGCTGCAGCAGAGGGATGAAAGAGCCACATGCGGCTCCAGAGCCGCAGATTGCCAACCCCTGCTTAAGGCTTATCTGGAGGTTTTAAGTCTTTGCCTCTCCCTGCAGCTGTGAAATCATCTGCATTCCCCATGCATTTCTAGAGCTTTAAAGATTTCCTATTATTTCCCCACAAGTTTGAAGGGCTTATGGGTCTCAGGTGATACTGTCTTAAAAGGCATCTTTTGACACACGTCTCCTTTTTTCTTCTAGTCGTCCTGCTAGATTTCGCCAAGGCCCAGGGGGATCTCGGATGGCTCAATCATCCCTATGGAAAAGGGGTAAGTCGCACCTCTTGCAAAATTGCTCCTGGTCTAGAAAAAACAACAACCTTTCAGTGTCAACTCGATTTTTAAGGGTGGAAATTCCCTCTAGTGCAGTGTTTCTCAACCTTAGCAACTTGAAGATGTCCGGACTTCAACTCCCAGAATTCCCCAGCCAGCATTCGCTGGCTGGGGAATTCTGGGAGTTGAAGTCCGGACATCTTCAAGTTGCCAAGGTTGAGAAACACTGCTCTAGTGGGAAAGCCTAGAACAAGCTTTGCTTAAAATATCCGTTTTCATTTTTTTTAAAAAGGGAATAATGACTCTTCTTGGGAGCAACAGGGAAATAAACCTTCCACTGTGGGGTCTAGAATGCAGAACAACATTAGCAGGGCGGAGAAGGTTGAACGAAAAACGTTTCTCCGTCGGATTAAAACAGTACAATGATAGGATGCCGCTAAACTTAATTGGGTTTTGAAAGGATTGGCAAATGGAAAAAAGTTACCTTTTTAAGTTTCCCCCACACATCCATGCTAGTTGTTCCCCACTCTAGGGGGCAGTGCTCATCTCCAATTTAAAACCAAAAAGCCAGTGCTGTCCGAAGACATCTCTGTGGTCATGTGGCCGCCATGACTCAATGCCAAAAGCGCACAGAACCCTGTTCCCTTCCCACCAAAGGTGGTCCCTATTTTTCTACTTGCATTTTTTAACCTGCTTTCGATCTGCTAGGTTGGCAGAAGCTCACTCCGTTACGCGGCGAGCCGGGATTCGAGCCGCCAAACTGCCGACCTTTCTGATCGACAAGCTCAGCATCTTAGCCACTGAGCCACTGTGTCCCTTTTGGAGTTAGGGTTAAGGTTAATGTAAATAAATGGTAAAAATACAAATATTTTGTTGGCAGTGCAAGAAAGAGGAACATATAAACCTATGTGGTGGGACTGCTCCAAAAATATGGCACATGGTGTTTAGAGAAATTAGAGCACTCTTGAATATCAATTTAGACATGTCACCGAGAATTGCATTACTGTTGCTGGTGGAAAAACAGGATATAAATGAAACAAAAAAAAAAAGGAATTGATTGTAAATTTGATAATGGCAGCTAGATTAGTGATGACTAAATCAAGTGATGGTTGAGCCACTGTATCCCTTTCTAGATTAAGATGTAGATCTTTATTAGAATTGGCCATGATGGCCCAGAGCAAGAAGTTTTGTGGCTGTGTGTTGTGTTAAAAGCAACCCTGTGATGTCTTCTCCTCCTTCCACCAGTGGGATCTTCTTCAGAACGTTATGAACGAATCCCTCATCTACATCTACTCCGTCTGCAACGTGCAGGAAGGCGATCAGGATAACTGGCTGAGGACCAACTGGATCTACCGCGGGGAAGCCCAGCGTATCTTCATTGAAATCCAGTTCACAGTCCGGGACTGCAACACCTTCTCACCTGGGACGGGCACCTGCAAGGAGACTTTCAACCTCTTCTACGCAGAGTCGGACGTCGACTACGGCATCAATTTCCAGAAGCGCCAGTTCCAAAAGATCGACACAATCGCCCCCGACGAGATCACCCTGCTGGAGGACTTCAGCACCCGCAATGTCAAGATCAACGTGGAGGTGCGCTCGGTTGGCCCCCTCACCCGGAAGGGATTCTACGTGGCCTTCCAGGACATCGGGGCCTGCGTGGCACTCCTCTCCGTCCGAATCTACTACAAGAAGTGTCCCGCCGTCTTCCGCAATATGGCCAGCTTCCCGGAAACCATTGCTGGGGCCGATTCGCAAGCGCTGGCCAAGGTGCCTGGCACCTGTGTGGCAGAAGCTGTGGCAACCGAGGAGCCCTTCATGCACTGCAACTCGGACGGGGAGTGGCTGGTGCCTATTGGCGAGTGCCTTTGCCGAGAAGGATACGAAAAAGACGGCGACAGCTGCAGGGGTAAGTAAACCATGACTCTTCCTCTGGCTTTGTTTACTGAATTTCTAGCCTGCCGGGCACTCAATAAACGACGGTTTTGAAAAGTTGAGGAGGGGGCAGATCAGTTCTGGCTTCTATGAAAGTGAAACAATGGCCAGATTCTTGAACTGTAATGGCGAACCTATGGCACAGGTGGTAGGCAGAGCCTCTTTGCGGGTACGTGAGCCAGCGCCCCAGCTCAGCTCCACTGTGTATGTTTGCGTGCCTCCCGCCAGCCAGATAATTTTTGGGTCTCTGCGGTGTATGCCCGGGGGAATGGGGTGCATGCATGAGCATTTGCGGTGTAAAGGGGTGTCATGTGCAGGGGTGGGGGGAGTGGGGGAGTGACATGTGCATTTGCAGGAGGGCAGGGTGCGGGAGGGGTGTATTGCATTATGGGTGTGGCCGCACATGTAGACTTTTGACACGTGACAACAAAAAGGTTGTTCTAGCATGACAACCCAAGGGAAGCAAGCGGGCTTATCCCATTTTCATTTGGTTGGGGCAGGAGTGTGTGTGTGTGTGTGTGTGTGTGTGTGTGTGTGTGTGTGTGTGT